AAAAACTGTCAATGAAATATGAAACCTTTCAAAAAAACATTTTAGACATGTTTCAGATATTTTTCAGAAAGATATTTTTTAGATGCTAAAATGTCCGCCAAGCTAAGATTTCAAAAATGTTTCTGAAATCTCAGAAATATTTCTGAAATAATTCTGAAATGCTTTAGAAATATTTCTGAAATGCTTAAGAAATATCTCTGAAATGCTTAAGAAATACCTCTGAAATGCCTAATAAATATCTCTGAAATGCTTCAGAAATATCTCTGAAATGTTTCGAAAATATCTTTGAAATGTTTCAAAAATATACGGGAAATATTTCAGATACTTTTTCTCATATCAAATTGTTTCGGATCACCCTGTATAGGATCATCCGGAACAATTTCCTGTCCTTCGTAAAGCATATTCTTGATCATAGTCATGATTTTGCTTCGCCGAAGGCGTGCTTATATTAGATCCCAACTGAAATTTACTTGCGAGTTAGTCTTACTATTATGCGCCGTCTAGCGGCGTCGTTGCATATTTCTCTGAAATGCTTCGTAATATTTCAGTGAAAAGGGTTATAAATGATTTCGATGAAACATTTCAGAAATACTTCTGAATAATTTCAATGTTACGTTTCAATATTATTGTCCGAGTTATCTTTCGGAAAGCTTTCAATGATATGTATTTTAGACATTACGTACAAAATATTTTTCTAAAATGTTTCGTAATATTTCAGTAATATTTCAGTGAAAAGGGTTATAAATGATTTTGATGAAACGTTTCAGAAAAACTTCTGAATGATTTTAATGTTACATTTTAATATTAATTGCCAAGTTATCTTTTGTAAAGCTTTCAGTGATATATGATTTTCATAAAACGTTTCAGAAATATTTCTGAATGATTTCAATTATACATTTCAATAATAATTTTTAAGTTATCTTTCGGAAAGCTTTCTGAAACAAGTTTTGCTGTGTGGGTTATAAAGAATAATTATTACTCATTAATGCGTGCGATAGATTAAGTCGCGTTTATTATACTTACCGATGATATATACTTACCGTTGATCACCGCCGGTGACAAAATGAGACGATTCCTTGAACGATTCGGGATACCTGAAAGAAAAAGAGAAAAATTAATTACGATTGCGTTATACGCATACTTACCTGGTTTCGTAGGGATTTGTCAGTGTGACTTTCATACGTGAAGAGTCACTCGGTGCAAGCCAAGTGACTCTGTATCCGCTTACGCGAAATTCGCGGTGCAGCGGCGCGATTGGTTCACGCGCGGGCGATAGCCGATTCGCGTCTTTGCACCTAAGAGAGCGGCGTCTCACAAAAAGTGTAGATGTCGAGTCAATGTCAACGACTCGGCATACGAAAAAGTGCACTTTTCGTACAGAAGGAGTCGTGTCATTTACACTCATGGCACGACCGGCCAATAGCGTGGCTTTGCGCCCGTTCGAGCACGTCGGCGCATGCGTCGCGCTTAGGTAGGAGAACCAGACCTGTTCCTCCCGGACAGTTCGCCGTTAGATTTCGAAGCGTCAACACGTGTCGCGTTGCGCATACATAATTCGACTTCGGCTTGCTTATCCCGTTACCGCCTATGATAAGTGCGAGTAATAAACATCATCGCGGAAAGTCCATTGCGAGATTACGTAGCGTCGAAAGCCACGCGTTAACATACGAGTCCGGCCGACTTATCCTGTTGATTGCTTGAGTGAATAGCATGAGTTACCGTACAGAAAGATAGTTAACTGCAATTGCGCGACACGGGATATAATTTTCCTTTGGCGCATTGTACATCGAAGAAAGTGAGACGGCGGTTCGATAACACTCGACGTAACAATACGCGCGATCGAGCGAACGCGTCCGTTCCTACACGGAGATTGGTGTAGTGAGGAGAATAATAAAATATTATTTGTTTATAATAAAAATAAGTGAATTCAATCGCGATCCCAGTGAAATTCCTATCCAAACGTTCCGAAATTACGCGTCGCACTAGAAGGGCGTGGCCGACGGCCTTGAACACGTCTGCGGCGTAGAACACGGCTGCCATAGAGCTGGAAGGAAGCGAGGGACCACGCGAGAACGAGAGGTTTCTGTATTTGAGCCTTAAAATACAGTGACGACCGTATAATTCAGCCCAAGTAGTAAGTGGCTAGAAATTAATTTCATCATTCCATTCGTTGTTCCGGTAACAACCTAACCAGGCTTGTTGAAATATTATTTTATTTATTTTCCTCTTCTTCTCCTCGATGCCACTTGATGTCGAAGGCTGTTGGAGATCCATTTTCTTCTCATTGCACTTGTTTTATCACAGCTGCACTTAACTTAAAGACATTTAACTTTAAAACACTTAACATTACTCACACACTATTACATATCACTATATAACCCAACTGCACGGAAAAAACGCGGGAATATTGTAACGAACAGACCATCGCGTATGTACAGGACCAGGGCCCCCAACAGTGCGCCTAGATCCGAGATCCGTCATTGGAAATGGCTGTTACGTCACTTCACGCATGCGCGTAATGGCTCCCGTTTGAGAGAAAACCCCACGATCCCCCATCACTGGTTCAGCGCACGGTCACAGTCATTTTTAACCTAACACGGTAGTGTCTGGTAGTGTCTCGCGTCAAGTACGCGCGAAGCGATACCGACCGTGACTCTTTACGCGACTAATTGTAAATGCATGTGACAGGATTCGAATTATAGTAGTTTACGTTTACGTGAGTATGACTTCTGTAGTAACTTATACGAACGATATCATCGTTGTTACTATAAAATTTCCCGTTTATGCGGAGGAATTATCGTATCGTTCGTAAGTTACTACATAATTAAGTAACGCTCGCGTAAACGTACGTAGTATAGATTAGATTACCAGTTTCTAATTTTACATAAAACGCAAGATTCACTTATGTATACAAGTTTAACGCTTATTGAGTTAATATGAAATAATTTTCCTAAATGTAAAAATAACACGATGTTATATATGCGGTTTGGCGTGAATATATATATATATCGTGACAATAGCCGAGGTGATCGAAGAAGTCGTTGTGTATAATGTTCCGATTCAACGGTCTCTGTCCCTGGTTGAGAGTGTTAATAATGACATTAATATCTCTCACACTGTCAAGCCAAATTGGCTCTTCGTTCAGCTTCCGACTCATTTATCATTTATCCTTTTGCAAAATTTGGAAAACAGCATGATGTATTGGTTGGTATAACAATGAATTGCTGCCAGTTCCAGATGTATTGAACAGTAAGTCTTAACACGTTGAATAAAAAAGAAATCAGGATATTCTGATTATACAATACATTTTTACTTTGTAGAGAATGATTACGTGGCTGTATATTGTAGGCCAGTCATATTAGACATCGAACTTTCCAATTAATCTTCACAGGTTGCAACCACCGTGAATTGCTCTGATTTGAGGTGCTGTAAGTGGGATTTATTTTGCTTCGCAATGCGCATGCGCATTACAAAGTTATTAACAATATTATCAACAAAAAACGCGATTTTTTTTATCTTTTCTCAAATATCTCGAAAACTAAGCAAGATAGGGTAACTAACTATACGTACCTTTTTTGTAAAGCGTAAAATTATCTACAATAATGATCTGAACAACATTTATCGTCAAGTCAGTCGTTTAGCTTGCACGCGCCGTCAAAGTCCGAGACTCGGATCCCGAAAATCCTCGATTTCATCGTTTTTTTTATGTTGCGTCGGTGATTTTTTTTCGTTATTTAAAATAAAATTAAAAATTTCAAAAAAATCACACATCATCTGAGAACTACAAAGAATACTTTTCAGAGTGTAACCGATTTTTTAGACCCTTCTTCTTTAGTTTGTAGCTATGTAAGCAAAAAATTTTGATTTTTTGGAATAGTCTTAGTTTTTCGCTGTTTTCAGGCCTTAGAATTTATTTGAGACAAATTTTATCGTATTCATCTTGTTGTGAACAAAATTTGCAACAAAAAAAGGACCCTTGTATTTTTTTCATACGACAAACGTTGATTTTTTTATTGACGCGCAAAGTTATCCAATATTGCGCACAGGTCGGATAACGCTTGTTTTACACTAAAATAATTGTTTTTTATTAAAATTTACGTAATTTTTTGCATTATTATTGAACCATATTGCAAAGTCGTTTTCAACACATTCTTTCATTTTTGCTTCCTCATAAAGGAAGCTTTGTTTTCGTAAAAAAAAGAATTTTTTTTGTTTTTCTGAACGTGTTCAGAATGTTCTAAAATGTCGAAAAATTGTAATTTTAAAAATGTCTGTACGTTGTATGTGTGTGTGTAGTGTGTAAGCGAGTCAGTGGTCTCCTATGCTAGACGCTGGATTCACGCTCCGGAGATCCGGGTTCGATCCCAGCCAAGTACACAAAATCCTGGGGGGTTTTTTTTCCGGTAATTTGTAGTGGGTCCAGTAGAAGGCGGCGGGGGCTACAGGATGCGCGCCTCCTCGGAATTTTCGGGGGATGCCATCAAGTCGATTTCTCCCTCCTAATGGGGGACTCGCCCTCACCTGCCCCGATTTGACGGGTATGGTGGGGAAAGAGGAGATATCGGCGCTATTTACCGAGTGGATTGCCAGTATAAGCAACCAACCCAGGATACTGGTGAGGGCACCCTCTTGTCCTGGGGGTGAGAAATCGCCCCCGGAGGCGGATGAAGTATCATTTAAGGTAATCAACGGCGTAGGATCAGGCAGGCAAGGGGAAACCGCCTAATTACTGTCCCAAGAGAACGCTTCATGAATGTACGAGACAGAAGAAATGGTTATGCCGAGCGATCCGGCTAGCGACCGGCGCTGCACTGATTCCGGGTCAGGCAGTGTGAAATGGGCTACCGGGCATGTAGAGGCTGAAGGGACGGGCCTCACATGCGAAATGGACGACTGGATTCAATAACAAGCTACAGCTGAGGAACAACTTATCCATTGGCACATGGAATGTCAGAGGTTTACTTCACGCAGGAAAACTAAATCTCCTTGAACGAGAGCTGATGAGGGAGAAGGTTGACATATGTGGCATCTCTAAAACCCACTGGAAGGATCAAGGACACTTCCACACGGAACACCATAACATATACATGTCAGGAGGTGCGAACAGAGGACGGAATGGAATCGCGTTCTTGGTTAGCAGGAGGATTGCACAGACGGTGCACTCGTATGAGCCCATCAATGACAGAATAATCAAGATCACCCTTGCAGCTAGACCGAGAAACCTTCACCTGGTACAGGTGTATATGCCTACAGGCGACGCCCCTGACGAAGAAATCGAGTCAATCTATGGCGATGTGGAGGATCTCCTGAGAAATATACCCTCGAAGGAACTAATCATTGGGGACTTTAATGCCAAGGTGGGGAAGGTCGAGGGAGCTCATCTGAGAGGCACAGGGGGAGCATTTGGACTGGGTGTGAGGAACGAGAGAGGAGAACGCCTCATCCAGTTTGCGGTGGAGAACGAACTGGCCATCATGAATACCATGTTTCAACACCATCCTCGAAGACTGTCGACCTGGATCAGTCCCAATAAGGAATACCAAAATCAAATTGACTACATGATGATCAAAAAGAGATGGAGGACATCGATAAGAAATGTCAAGGCTAAGCCTGGAACGGACTGTGACTCTGATCACAAACTACTACTAGGAGCTTTTAGCATAAAATTCCACTTCCTGAAGAGGGGGAAAAACAGGAGATGACACGAATTGAAAACATGGAGGCCTTCCAACAAAATCTCATGGATAACGCTGACTGGGAAAGGAGCGATAATCCAAACAAATGCTGGGAAAACATCAAGGAATGGATCAAAGGGGCAGTCAGGGAAAGCGGAGCAATAGAAATCCCGAAGAAGAAGCACTGGATGACTGATGCAACGCTGCAACTGGTGGAAGAGAGGCGACGTATCAGAGGCAGTTTGGGTAACGCAGGCAACGCAGACAACGCAGACCGATTGCGCCGGATCAGCCAACAGATCAAACAAGCATGTAATCAGGATAAAAACAACTTCCTAAAAAACATATGCTCTGATATTGAACGACACGCCAACCGACACGAGTCCCATGAACTTTTCAAAACGGTCAAGTACCTGACCAAGGAATTCAAGCCGCAAACCCAAGTAATCAAGAATGAGCAGGGCGCAAAGATCACGGACCCAAAAGGCATTGCAGAAACATGGCGACAGTACTGCACCAACCTGTACAGGGACAAACATAGTCAAGTGGGCCTCTCATGTGGGCCCTATGAGCAACTGGAACCTCCCATCTTGCGCTCAGAGGTAGAAAAAGCAATTGGGCAGCTGAAAAAAGGGAAGTCACCCGGGGCAGATGGCATAACCGCAGAAGTGATCAAAGCCATGAGCCAAGCGGGAATGGACACAATGCTGGAGCTATGTAACGTCATCTGGAGGACCGGAAAATGGCCTGACGACTGGCGCCACTCGACCTTCGTCCCGATCTACAAGAAGGGTTCCCCCACTGAATGCTCCAATTACAGGACAGTGGCTCTTATTCCCCACGCGAACAAGATCCTTCTCCATGTCCTTCATAACAGACTAAAGTGCTTCCTGCTTCCGGAAATAGCCGAAGAGCAGTGTGGTTTCATTCCGGGGAAGGGCACGAGGGAGCAAATTCTGAATGTTCGCCAAATAGTAGAAAAGGCCAGGGAATTCAACGTCAAGGTCTTCATATGCTTTGTCGACTACACCAAGGCGTTCGACTCGGTGAAATGGACACCCCTCTGGACCATTCTGATGGAAATGGGAGTACCGCGGCATCTGGTGGCACTTGTGCGGAGCCTCTATGAGAACAACACAGCGGCTGTTCGAGTCAACCGAACGACATCCAACGATTTCCAAACAAAGGCGGGCACGAGGCAGGGCTGTATTCTCTCATCCATACTTTTCAACATCTACACAGAGTACATAATGCGGCAGGTGCTTGAGGATTGGAAAGGAGGAGTTTCCGTCGGGGGGAGGAGAATCAGCAACCTGAGGTATGCCGACGACACGACGATTCTGGCTACGACCGCGCAAGAGATAGAAGCTATCGTGGAGAGACTCGCGTTGATCAGCAGGGAGTATGGCTTAGAAATTAACCGAGATAAGACGAAGATCATGATCATCGTCAAACAGATGAATAACCAGCCCAATGTGAAGGAAGTGGCTGGATTTGAAGTCGTTGAAAAAATGGTCCATTTGGACTCCTTGATAACTAACAAAAGAGGATGTTCAGAGGAGATCAGGAGGAGGACGGCCATGGCCAAGGCACCCACCATAAAATTGAGTAAAATATGGAAAGATAGAATCATCACAAAGAATACCAAACTGCAACTGGTGCACTCCCTCATCTTTCCCATCGCAACTTATGCAGCCGAAACATGGACCATCAAGCAGGCGGACAGGAAGAGGATAGAGGGGTTTGAGATGTGGGTGTTCCGGCGCATCCTCCGGATCCCTTGGACTGCACACCGGACCAATATATTGGTGCTAGAAGAACTGGGCATCAGGGGGTTTTTTTTTTTTAAATTTAAATTTTAAATTTTTTTAAAAATGCCCATGGTTGCTCTAACTTCCGCAAATTTGGAGATATCGATCAATTTCTCATTTTATTATATTTTTCAGTCTTTTCTACCCCTATTAGTAGGAAGAGTGAGAGAATTCTAGACCGGGGATCTCAGGGGGGGTGAGGGGCGGGGGGAAGAACTCGCGGCCGAGAGGTCTGCCGGGGGGGGGACTCTAGCGCCGCGTCCTCCGAGGGGGAGAAAGGGTGGTGGGTGGTCTGCGTTCCCACCATATGGTGGGGAAAGGGGGTGGTGGGTGATCTGCGTTTTTAGCATAGGGTTGGGGAGGAGGGGGGGATCAGGCGAGCGCGTCGGGGCATGTTCGATAAACAAATGACGCCTCGCGTCGATGTTCGGCCGATAGTATTTATAAACAGATGTCATTTCACACTCATCAAATGCGAGCGAGCGCCTATGGCAGGCGGCTATAATTTACGACCTGCGACTAGCGTGACACCGCGGTCCTTTTCACTCTTCTTCGTAGGAAGTGCCGCTTATCGGTGTTTCGCGGCGCCATTCAGCTATGGCGTCGCGCACTACAAAAGCGAGCGCTGATGACATGCAGCTAGATTTTATAAACACTAGACAGCATAAGCGCAGCAACGCGACTCAATTTCTATGGGTATCGACGAACGTCGATGACAGAATTTATAAACGAATATCATCTCGCACTGCGGATGGCCGAGCATTGATGGTCGCGCGACGTAGGTACTCGACCAAAAATTTTATGCGACTTAACCGTCGCGGGTTACAAAGACGAGCGCCGATGACAGGCTGCTAGATTTTATAAACACTAGACAGCAATGCGACTCAATTTCTATGGGTGATATTGTTTCTCTGCAGTGTATGCACACCATGCACTAAAACAGAAGAAACGATACGCGATGCTCTAGTTGGAACGAGAGAAAAAGGCAATAGAAAAAGTATATAAGAAAGAATGAAGCGAGTCAAAATCATAGTCTGTGATTTGAAAGTCTACGCGTCGGTACATTGATTGGAAAAAAGTATAGCGAGATGACAATAATTCAGATATGGATCGCGAGTTAACGGACGACAGTGACTATTTCAGTGATGAAGACGACAATCATGAAGAAGTCATCGATAGAATAGTGCTGCGTTGGGAAATCGTTGCACTAAATTTACGTGTGAGACATTGCGTAATATATTTTTATTATTCAACGAGTGGTGCACTTGCACTATGTGCTCCGTGCATGGTTACTCTATGGGACCTTAATTTCGGCATGTACGCTCGCCTAAAACACTTCGTTGAAAGACGCGGAACGACGCATGGCTGGTATCGTTCAAGATGTCGTGAATCATTGTATATGATATTTCCGCGTAATATGTGCCCGATTTGCACACGATAAAAAAAAAATATTATCGCGGCTTTTAAAACAATAATTTTGAGGCAATAATGGATGTGAATACATCCGACAAGGATCGTCCGTTGTCACCGGACAGCAATTATAACAGCGAAGAAGACGATAACCGTAGAGAAGTTATGAAAAAAATAGTGTCGCGTCCCGAATTTTTAGCGCTGGATGGACGTACGAAGTGTTGCGCAATTTATTTTTATTTTGAATACGGTTCAGATAACCTGTGTTATTCGTGTATGATCGCTTCACCAGACACTGGTAAGCACATACGTGAACGTCGAGAGCATGTAACCGAGCCGTACGACGTAATGACAGTTCAATTTTGCACAGATTGTCGTAATACTCCATTGTTCTAAATATATCTATGCAACATGTGCCCGATTTGCATGAAGTGATAAAAAAAACATTATCGCGAGTGGGACATTATATAACGTGCGCAACATGGAACGGATAAATGAAAAGAACAAATTGAAACGAAGAAGTGATCTTAACGAGTATATAACCTCTTTAGGCTATGATCTAGGGCTGTTACTTTTGACAACTTCGAAGCTTCGAAGGTAACTTCGAACCTTCGAAGCTTCGAAGCTTCGAAGCTTCAAAGTTTGAAGTTAAATTCGAACCTTC